AAATGGGCACTATTACATCAGATGCATGTTATACATCTCTCCCACCTTTTCCATTGGAAAATGAACCTCGAGCAAAATATTGAGGGCAGCCATCAGCAAGTTAAACTGTACCCAGCAGAAGCCACAGCTCTTTCAAGAAAATTAGAGAGGATAAACATTTAGCTCAAAACTACAAAGCACGTATACGCAAATAGTTCTGTTTGTGGAGCACTCAACTGAGAGGTTGAAAATGGCAGCTTATGATCTTTTAGATATTGAGGTTAGTGCCATTTTCGTCAGTTCCAATGATGCCACCACCAGACACATGTCCTGTCCCCTCCGTTTTAAGAATTCTGCAGGGACCGTTCCCTCCAGGACACCCTGGGCTCATCCTCCTCCACTCCCAACACCTCCCCACACCCCATGGCACTTTCTCATACAATCATAGAAGATGTGACACTTGTACTTTGTGTGCACTCAGTCACATCTTCCCTGGTATTCACAATGTAATCTCTACATTGGGAAGACTAAACACAGAAACAAACCCAGAAATTGCTGGAAAAGCTTAACAAGTCTGGCAGCATTTGTGAAGAGAAATCAGAGTTAACGTTTCGGCTCCAGTGACCCTTCCTTAGGTTCAGGCCACCAGATCCAAAGGTTAACTCAGGTTTCTCTTCACAAATGCTATCAGACCTGCTGAGTTTTTCCAGCAATTTCTGTGTTTGTTTCTTATTTATAGCATCTGCAGTTCTTTCAGTTTTTCTTTAGGACTGAATGCAAACTGGGTAACCAGTTTGCTGAACATCTACACTCTGTCCTTAAAATTGACCCCAAGCTTCCAGTTGCCTGCCAGTTCAAAACACCGTGTTTCTATGCCTACATTTCTGTCTAAGGCCTACTGCAGTGCTCTGGCAAGGCTCAATGCAGGTTTTACCGAGGCACCTTACAGCCTTCTGAACTCAACATTTGGTTTTTTCAAGACATGAGCACTCTCTCCCTCATTTATTCCCTTTCCCTTGCTCATTCCCTTCGCCCAAACCCCTAGGCCCTGTCCTGTATAGGCTGCTTACAGCGCAGCCAATGCATATTCATGCATTTATACTGCTTGTTAGCACGCCATCTAGCTATGATCTGTTTCTCGGCTTATTATCAGCAATCTCTTTTTTTGCTTATCCTCTCACTCATTGTCTCTCAGTTCTGACAAAAGGTCATTGGACTCAAAATGTTTACTCTGTTTTCTGTCTACAGATGCTGCCAGACCTGCTGTATTTCTTCAGTGTTTTCTGTTTTTGTTTCATATTTCTAACATCCGTGTTTCTTTGTGTATATGGGTTTTGACTCTGACCTTGAAGTCCAAATTGTGGTGATTCATCAATCAGTTTCACACTGGTCCCTTTCTTTCCTCACGACTTCAGTTTTGTGCTGGTACTTTCCTGCCCTTTTCATAGTGTGTTGTAAACTGTAGGATATATGTATATGTAACATCATTTTTTGTAAGTTTGGGCTCTTGGTTTCTGAGTTAAAAACCAGTGGGTTTCTGTGTATCTGAACTTAATAGTTAACTTGTAAATATTTCAGTAGCCATAGTGATTTCTTTTGAAACAGTTTTTGAGGCCTGACTTTAGAGTTGATACACTTCTGTGCACCAAGATTTAATGTTTTGTTTATTTTAGATTGTTTTGTGACCCAGCAAGGTAAAAAATGGGTCTTCAGATTTGTTAGAGACTTCTGGAACTTTTTTTAAAATTTAGAAATGGAGATTTCTGGTTTCTCTTTTACTTTGTTTGGGCAATCCTATGAAGTTCTTAGAATAGGATAGCAGTATAGACCAGTGCTCCTGAGAATGGAATGATATGTACTGCACTAGTTTACCTTGAAGTGAAAAATTGGTGTCTGTCCCAGATGCAAACTGTTGGAATAAAACCCTGAAGAGATTGCTTAAAGCTGAATACATTTAAATTTAGGTGTATGATAGCTCGAGGAAGAAGCTATCTACAGGTCAAATCTAAAATTTGGAATTGCAAGTGACGTAAACCAACTGAAGTGTTCAATTCAAGATATATGAATACTGTATGAGTGAAGTTTTGGGTACTGTACCAGGGGTGTGCCTCAGGTACTATAAAGGTACTATAATAAATTTCTAATTTATTAAATAATGTTTTGGGTTGAATGATATCATACTCTTACTGCATATTCAAAAATCTTTGAATTTGTATTGTAGGTAGACAATTTGATTTATTCTATTCTTCTATCATTTCTTTTATCAATAAACTAGTGTTAAAGCCAAATTGCAGTAATGTGTGCTTCTGTGTCTCAGTGAGACACCACTTTGTTAAAACCAAAACAAGTCCAAATGTGATCTATCAAGCTAGGTTTCTGTCTGGGTTGAGAGAGGGTAAACATTGGCATCATTTCCAAAGTGGTGAGCTGTTAAAGGCTGCACTGAAACAGTAGACCATTAGCAGGATAGATTAATCAAACAGTATTGTCCTAATCCCAAAAGTAAAATCCTTGCTATAAAATATGATGGATAATCTGTAATTCACTGATCTGTGGCCTATCCACTGATGTAATAGATGTTTTGCTTACTGGACATAAAATAAACTTGTATAAAATCTGATCAATGCATAACCTTTACAGCGCTTCACAGCTCTGCCTCTGTCCCTGTTCCTAAGCATGAATTTTGAATTAAGATTCTTGATCCGTTCACCCAGTTTTGACTGAAATTATTTCTTTGGCCTGATCCAATGAGCCTGCTGCTTCATTGATTGCTTTGCATCTTTAAGAGTTTTATTGATTGTTGTCTCAGGACATTGTCAAATTCTGAAAATGCTGTTACTGGGAGTGAGCACGATGCCAGAAAACCTAGCAACTGTTGTATGGCTCATTAATTCAGCAACTGATTTCTGTGATTCACCAACAGCATGTGGGTGCATGCAACTCTCTAGGGTTTGTTATTGAATTATTTGAGTAGTTTGAGAATTCTGTCAACCAAGATAACAAGCATCAAGAGTTTAAGCTGTGAAGAAGTAGATATAGGTGGAATGCTTTGCTTCACTGAAAGACTAAGTGATTTTTGGAACTACTTATTGAGGGAGGTTGTAGTGGGTAGAAGCTTAAATATCTTCAAGGCGAAATTAAACAAATATTGTGAAGAGAAATCGTTTATTGGTTCTCACAGCCAAACCTACTCCTTTGCTCTCTTCATATGTCCACGGAGGTGGGATTTGGGATTGAGGGGTTGTTTGTCACTAAAATGCGATCAAGAACCGTAAGCCCTGGTTGATTCCCTCCACCTCACTCCACCCAGAGAGGAGTCATGATTTATTGTGTTTATCTCAGAATCATTCAACAGATCAGCAAAGACCTGGAAAATGGAATATTTTCTATTGGACAATGCACTTAGGAAAATATATGTTTTAAAATTATAATGTCCCATTTTACTTGTTGATCTCTAAAACAGGCCTTGCATGTCATGATACTTTACACTTTCTGACATAATCTTGATCAATTACATTTTGATAATTCTAGATTTTCACGCAGAATATTGATAATCTGCTACAATTTATTTTAAAGTAGCAGATAATAATCTTTGGTTTTGATTAACCTGTCAGTGGAATTACATCTGGTATGACACACTGGATGTAGTATTTAATTTCATTTAGTGGTAAATGATTGAATATGTAACAGCATGAGAGAGGTGATTTCCCTTGAAGTAGGGGAAGAGGCCTACAGTTAAGGTTCAGATACAAATCGAATATTTTGTATGAAGAGTAGTATTTCTGTGTAAGGAAGCAGAACACAAGTGTCACCTTGGTTCAGTACCTCTATTGCCCCTGAGCTTGAAGTTTGTGTTCAAGTTGCAATTCAGGGCTTAAGCACATAAACGAGGCTGATGCCATAAGACCACACTCACAGGAATACAAGTAGGCCATTTGACCCATCGAGCCTGATCTACTATTCATTGAGATCATGGCTGATTTGATAATCCTCAACTTCACTTTCCTACCTTTCTCCATTACCCTTGATCCCCTACTGGTTAAAAATCTGTCCGTATCAGCCTTGAATATACTTAAACACCCAGCTTCTACATCCTTCTATGCTAAAGAATTCTGCAATTTCATTACCCTCCAAGAGAAGAACTTCCTCTTCACCTCTGTCCTAACCTAGTGATCCCTTAATTTGAGATTATGCCTTCTGGTTCTAGACTTGCGCACAAAAGGAACCAACCTCTCAGCATTGACTCTGTCAATCTCTCCTAAGAATTCTCTCTAAGAATTTTAATGTTTCAATAAGGGTTGCCTCTCATTCGTTTAAATCCAGTAAGTACAGGCTCATCGCTTCTTATTAGAAAATCCCTCCCAAATTCCATACCTAGAATCAACATAGTGAATCTTATCTGGGCTGCCTGCAATGCCAGTATGTCTTTCTTTAGAGAGGAGGTCCAAAACTATTCACAGTATTCTTGATGTGGTCAAACTAGCGTCTTGTCTAATTTTAGCAAGTTTTTTTTTAATAGACTTATTTTTATACACCATTCTCTTTGAAATAAAGGCTAACACTCCATTTACCTTCTCTGTTAACTGCTGAACTTGTATGCTAGCTTTTTGTGCCTTATGCGCAAAATGCCTCTGCACTACTGCTTTCTGCAGTCTCTGTCCATTTAAATAATATTCAGCTCCTCTTCAGTGGAGTAAAGAGCTTCCTGATTGTCAGAGGTGCCATTGTTTGGACAAACTGTTAAATTGAGGCCTCCTTCACTGATTCAAGTAAATTTGAGAAATTTTTGAAGAAGTATCCAAGCTTTCTCAATATCTTGATCAACTTCAGTCATCAATCTTCAGTGTGCAAAAATTTACCATCAAAAGAATTGCACTTCAGCAAGAATTGTTTGGCTTTCGGTTGCTTTGGAATATTATGAATGTGTGAAATGCTCAATGAACACAAATTCTCTTTCGAGTCATTTGTCTGATTACAGAAGTTAATGTCTTGTTTCTAACCACAACTACTTTCCTTTACAGGATCTGTAATGACTGTTTCTGGTCGAATGACATTTACTAGTAACAGGTCTATGGAGATTGAAGTTTTTGTGGATGTTGACCATGTCATGGAAAGTCCAAAAGGAAAGGCTCCTGCTGTTACTGCATTCTTTACTTATGTTTCCTTGGACAAGGAAGGAAAAGCACTTCCTATTCCTATGTTGAAGGTGAGAGAATGCATGTATTAATGTAACCAATTTTAATCTGTCTACTGCAATTGTGTTTTTCCACATCAGAAGAGTTGAGGAATAATATTGTGTAATATGTACAGCAAAATACATTTGGTCATTTCACAAATAGTAGGGTTTGCTCAGTTTGGACCAGCATGGCTGGGATTGAGTAACTGGCCTTTATATTAACAGAGCTCATCCAAGTCAAAGGGAAAAGTTCTACATTTGGTCCTGACACCTATTGTAAGGGTTTGAAAGGGTTCATGCTGAGGAATGCATTAAGCACTGCCAAATATGATGATGCCACATGAATTTGGGCAGGGGAGCAGCTTTGGATCTCGAAGCAGTAAGACCTAACATTGAAGTCTCCCTCACAGTGTCAGTAACAATGTTTATTATATCAGTCTTGTTGCTACCACGCACGACAAGATGTCTTGTTTAAGACAATAGCCTCTTCTTGTTAGACTGCCAGACCAGACCAACAGGTCCTGTAGATCCCCACCAGGAGAAAGGATGGTGGCAACAAATCCACCAGATGGATCTTACACCATGATGAACTGTGATGTGAACCGAGTTTAAAAGAATTTCTGTTAAAGGGAAGGTGAAATCAATCAGGATGTCCTGATGCCCATCCAGTGAAGGCTGCTGGAAAGTAGACACTAAGAGGAAGATTAGGTTTATACACCAATTGCAGTGAAATTATGAACCTGTTCAGGAAACAGAAAAGTGCAGATGATTCCTACCTTTGCTCTCTATCTGGGCTTTTAGATGAAGGATGAAGGATGACCATAAAAGCATAACAGCACTCAGATAAACTATTGAAGGTCTTTAGAATATTATCTCCAAAATACTCAGTATCTTGACGAAAAGTAATATCCGTATAGATCCAATGTCCTTCTTATCATTCTTTCTTAATGTGTTTGTCAGCCTGGCTGATGTATGGTTGCAGTTCAAGTCCAGGGAGATTTCAGCAGCAAAGGGAAAAGTGCTGGAAAGACAAAAAAGAAACAAATCAGTTTTTTTTGTTGGAAATCAAAGCCTTTTATTGATTCCTCTGTCTTTTCCTGATTGTATAAATGACTTCGGACTGAAATTATTAGGAAATGCCTTTCTTGACAGAGCACAATATAGGATGTGCAATCAATCATTTTCTGTTGGGGAAGATGAGGAGAAGTGATTTTGTTTATGTCCTAGAAAGGACAATTAAAAGCATCACAATTTTCCTGTGAATGGAATACTTTAAATTTTCAGCTCCAGTGGGTTTGGTAAATATCATTAGCAAGCACAATACTGTAGATTTTGATAATAGTTGAGGATCCTTGTATATAGTACAGTGAAAAGTTTGCAATAATGTTGGGGGGCATATTGTCTCCCGTTGCGTTGGCATAATTACTTCATTTCACCATGGCAATAGATAACACTGGCAAAAATTAAGAAATCAGTGCGGCTGTGCTGGCAGCAATATACTGTATAACTGCTTCAGGGGAATCAACACAAGTTTGGAAGTGTCAGTATGCAAATGAATTTCTCCTCTCATAGTTTTTGTAAAATGTTAGGTAGAGACAAAAAGACAAACCTGAAATGCTGAAAATACAGATTCGAATCACACAAATAATGGAATTATACATCAGGCAAATCAGCATTCAAAAGGGAAAGATAAGCCGGCATTTCCATTGAGACTTCAGTCGGTTTCTAGAGATTCAACAAAAGGATCACATCTACAGCTTTCGCCAATCTTTCCCTTTCGATCATTGACATACATTGCATTTAAAGTTATTTTCATCTTTACTTTGGAATCATAGATAACAAGGAATTAATCCTGGATGTAGGAAATTTAAGAGTGTATTAGTTGAGGATTTTTATTTTGGTTATTGGATATCAGATATTATCAAATGGTTAAGAGTCTCCAAAACAAATGACAGGCAAGATCCTTACAGATAGCCTTCTAATTGCATGATATGGAATGCACGTTGTTTCCACGTGGGAATACTCCCTACTGACCTTTAATAATTGAAACACGGCAACCAGCTTTGGCTGTACAACCAGGAATCACTACAGAGTACTGGACACTGTCCCCAGCTTCAGGTGAATGGCAAAGATAATTTCCGGGGGCAGCGGATGAGGAACACAGGGATAGAAAATACAGAAAGAGATGAATGAAGTCGGGTGCAAGAAGGACTGTTTGAAGCATGCATGTTGCAGTTGTGTCAAATGACCTGTGCTGCTGTAAATCCTGCGTAATCCTTGCTTGCCCAATTAGAATCCTACCCACTTAAAATGTCAGATGCATGTTACGTCTGGAGTGAATCATTTGGAGTCCAGCTTCTATTAACAGGTTGGTACCACCGTTTTACTTTAGTCATCAACTGACAACAATTTTGTCATGGCTGCCACTTGTCTAAGTCTGCCACACATTTGGTTCCAAGCACACATCAGGCATGCCATTGTAGTGTCAACTAGGACCTAAGAGGTAGGTAATTTATATCAGAGTTACAGATAGGATTTTATTTCAGAACATACAAAAAATTATTTGTGAATGTGGGAATAGTCATTCTGCTGTAATTTCCATGTAGCCAAAATAAACCATAGTTTCCATGGGGCAATGATGCATTTTTCTCTGTTAGAGAGAGAGATAAGTAGTCATAGCTGAAGAGGCCCTTTCCATCAAACATGGCTGACCATGAATCTTTCCTACTCTTACTGCCTGCCATGGGCATGCTGGAAGCATTAGTAAGTTGATCAGTAACTGTTTAGCCACATCAAGAATTCTCTTTCTGTGACCAACAAATCCTGGGGTGTGACTTGTCCTGGACCTTCTGGCTCGAAGATAGGGACTTCATCTACTTACACAAAACCTCCCCTGATACGTTGTACAAATACTTAAATAATTTATTTACAATCACACACAGATCTGTTGAAGGGTCACTTAACCCAAAACATTAACTTTTGTTTCTCTCCACAGATACTACCAGCCCTGCTGAGCTTTTCCAGCAATTTCTGTTTTTGTTTCTGATTTACAGTGTTTTGCTGTTCTTTCAGTTTTTAATTTATTTACAATTCCTGTTGGTTTGGATATTGATATCATCTGTTTTTAGACAGATTTTAGGTTATTACCTTCAGTGAGTGAGCCAGGATAGGACTCCAGCAGATTTGTAAATCTAGGATTTACAGATGTGATTGGCGAGAACTTTATATCACTGATGTGACTTGAAAATGTAAAGATGCATTGTCCTCATCTTATAAGGTATTGTTTTTAGTGATGCTCTGCACAAGAACAGACCATCTCAGAATTACCCTGAATGGGTTTCTGACCTAAGCGGTATAATGCTGAGCTAAACAGCAAGCCCATCAGTACTGTGGAAGGGTTATTTGACTTGAAATGTTAACTCTGATTTCTCTCCACAGACGCTGGCAGACCTACTGAGCTTTTCCAGCAATTTCTATTTTTGTTTCCCATCAGTACTGTGTCTTACAAACAGTTCATTTGCCCAGTCAGTGCTGCTCATAGCCAACTAATAGGGGCATGAAGAAGCAGTTTGATAGAGGTGCAGGATGTGATTCTGATCTTTGGAGATAACTTTAGTGACATGGAACTTCCACTTGTCCCAGCATTAATGCAATGCTCCATAAGAGATCACAAGAGGTGTTAAAATGGCAGCTCCCCAAAAGTGTCATCTGAACTTCCACAATTGTATCAGATAGATGGGGAGTGTCAGTAGCTAGCAAGGAAAATCCTTGCCAGGTGCCACGACTTGAATTTTGCAACCACCTTCATAATGATGTAGCCTAATTTTGACTGGGATCATGGAGGAGAATCTAGCTGCCTTCATCCAAGCTTCTCACCATTGCGTGCCTGTGCTTTGCCTGATGTTTCCAAGTGCTCACAAGACTGTAACTGAGGTTAGACATTCTACAGGCTGGATGAGACCCACTCCCCACCTTTACACAGTCCTGTATATTTGTGTTCTCCACCTCACCACCAATGCACAGTCACCAATTTTCAAATACTGAACTCTATTTCAGAGCATTGTGAACCACATTTTTATGAAAATCAAATGTAATTTTTGATACATTTGAAATCAAGAAAAAATGGAGTGTAATTTGGATTCAAATAAAATGCAAAATACTTTCTTCAGATGCAGGGCTCATGTATAGTTTGAAGTTTACCTGTACAGCTCATTAGTTTATATTTACGAAAAGAAATAAGTTGTGCACTGACAACTGCTTCTGAGGCCGACTTCACCTGGTTCCCAATTACCAATTCAAACCTGAAAAGTGGATTTAATTCTGGCACTGATATGAGGTAGCAATGTAGGGAAGTGGCATGAGACAAGATGCCACAAAGTTACTGTCCATTGGCAAGGAATGATGGCGAAGTTAATGGTACTGATTTTTTGACAGACAAAAGTATGGTTCTAGAGTCACAAAGGAACATTTCACTGCACTGTCTATTTGTTGTCGCATGCCATTTGTTACAGTCGCATCTTCATACGATGCACTTTATCCCCATATTCCTTCTGCGAATCATACCTGATATACCGCCAGTAGCACTCACAGTTTCCAAGCAGAGGAGGATAAATGATGTAGCCTGATTTTATTCACGATCTAAACCCACTGTCACATTTTATTTGTTCTTTCATCTTAAAATACTGTCCATGCTGTCCGTTTTGATCCTGATCTGAGCTTATTATTCTCCAAGCAGTAACCTTGGCCTTCAGGGAACAAGTGGTATTTGTAGCTTAAACAAAAAGAACAAAATGGGAAAAAAAAGACATATTTGATGGTTGCAGAGAAATTGAGTTGTTATTGATGTACTAAAATAAGAACATAACCTTGCTCCATGGCTATAAATAGCACTGTAGTCTTTCCAATGTATATAAGTAGCACTGCTGCCTCTGTATCTTGTATAAATAGCACTTTAACTAGCCACTTTTTTTAAACTGACTTCAGGTGACATTGAGGATGTTTTTGAGGCTATTTTTAAATCTGTCTCCACT